ATTTGGATTTATACATCTGAGCTGGTGATAATCCATTTGAAAACATTTCACATCAAACAGAAAAAGATACATTTGCAGCTGCTTTAGAATTCATTCAGTAGCTGGACTGAATTCTTTTGCAATTTAATTATGTGCTTTCTGAAATGGCAGTAAGAGGCAATTTTCTTAATGCAGTTAGCACCATACTTAATATTATAATAATACTGATTTATACTCTTCTCATGTCTCTCTTGAACTATTGTTTAACACTGAAAAATGTCTTCCAATATTTGTTGGAATTAAAAAAGGATGAATATAAATACAAATATGCGTATAGGTGTTAGAAGGTGCAGTTTCTGAATATAATTATTATGAACTATAATTCCTTGCCAAGAATCTTTCAATGGTTGTTAAATGGAGAATGAAATTCAACTCCATCTACATATCATTACAAGATAAGGGTAAGCTTATAAGGCATTGAGTGAAATGTTAATTAGCCCTTCTAAAATTAAAGAGGAATTAAATGATTGAAATCCAATGGGAGGTATTTCAGCTCTAATCAGATTGTTTAATAGAGTTGTGCACATTGTGCCAAATACATCCTATTTTGCATCTGACTTGATTTTGACCAGCAACTAATTAAAGTGTTATTATGAAGACCTGCTCAGTTCCTGGGCTGATAAGTTGGTACCTTCTGTGGAAGCGTTGTGAGGCTCCATGAGGTGTTGGGCCCTACATTACTCATAAAAATCTAACTTCAAAAACCAGAATGTTTCCTTTGTGATTTCTGTTCAGCTATGGACTGTGGAATAATGCCATAAAGGCACTACATTAAATTAAGCCACTAACAGGGAAAATATTGTATTAAGATGTCATATTTAGAGAGTGTGTTGTTAATACATCAAATTAATTGTTGGGTTGAATTGTACTTAAAATACCAGCAAGACCCTGCAGTTTCTCAGAAATAATTTTGAGCCCTACCGAGTAAGGTTCTGCTGATCTTGATGCCAAATGATACATAAAGATTTGACGAGACTAGGAGAATAGTTTTAGCAAAAGGTGATACTGGAAAATATTCTATGCCACTGCTAATTGGAATAATAAATGGAATAATAAATAAGTGAAATAATTTATTTCCGATAAGTTCTGTTCCCGGGCTGGTTTTCCTTCCATCTCTGCACTTGGAATGACTCCACATCTTCCTAAAGCAATGTTTAAAGACTGAGTGAGACCAGGAGTCTCTTGGCTTCCAGCTGGGGTCCATCACCAGGGACTTGGCCAAAGCTGAGCTGTGCTTGTGGCAGGAGCAATTCGCCCTCTGCTGGGCCCTGTGGAGGTTCACAGAGCTCCTGGGCTGTACCTGAACAAAGTTATGGGCACCTGGAGAGATGCGGCAAAAGCGTGGGGAGCACAACATCATCTCAGTTTGGGGCAGCAGTGGGGTGGCTGTGGGTGACTGTGCTTCCTTTCCAGTGCATTGATGTATCCGAAGGGAATGAGTGCTACAGCAGGAGAGATTTGCAGAGCCCACTGCTTGTCCATACTGTAAAATTAAATTGTTTGAAAAAGGTATGATTGTGACAGCGTGCAAACCCAGCACTTTTATAAATAGATATAAATTTTAAGGTTTACAATAACAGTAGATAGGACTCAACACAACATCACCTAACAGTCCCAGACTCTTAAGTCCTGGGTAACAGCCTGTTTAAAATTGCATGTCAGGAGCAAATTCTAGTTTTAAATTACAAAAGAATTTATTTCAAGCGGATCTGGCCTAAATTCTGAACTATTTTCCTCTATCCAACAGTACTGTATTTCTTTCTGCTGGAAACTGTCAAGTGGAATTTTCTTTTGAGGTCAGAATTGTATTTAATGGGAGGAATTCAACTGAGGCTGTAACATTGGGTTTTCTTGGAGAATACAGAAAGTGAACAATCTATGAAATGAAAATTGTTTATTAATGTCTAAAAATTACTAATAAAGCTTTTAAAATTCCAGGATAAGTATTTTCATTGGGAACATCTCAAGATCAGATCACTGCCTGAAAAATCTATTTGCAGCTATGTTAAAGAGTCCTTGTGATTTTTAAATTTTTTTTTTTTTAGTGTGCCATTCACTACCTTCCAGTTCCCTTTCACTTAGCTAGATGTAAGGTTTATCATTCTGAAAGCTTTTAATTTGACAGTGAAGTAAATTAGGCATTAGGATACAAATTGAATTTGTCATGCCATCTTTCTATGAGTAGAAGATGAGTTGAAATTTACTTTGACCTGTACAGTCAGTTTAATTACTTTCTTTTCTTTTTATTTTTAAATTACTTTAGAGATTTTTCTCACTGATAGCTGAATCTTTTATTTGTATCATCAGGCCAACTTTTTTGTTTTTATTCACAAATACCTATTATCTTAAAAACCACCAAAACCTACCTATTCTCCTTTCTTATAAAGATTTGATGAAGTGCATTCCTAGGCAAGTAGTATTGTATCAATTTAAATTATTTTAATTATGCTTTCTCACTATCATGAAAAATATCTTTGCAATGATACAGCCTCTAAAATCAGTGGGAATTTTGATTTTAGAATGTCAAAGATTTCATCCTTGTATCTAATACATTAATAATCTGTTCATGCATGCAGACACACCCATGCATTTTAATACTACCTTGTGATTCTCAGATTGGGAAAAAATGATGAAACATGACTTCAAACTCTTTTGCATACAACTTTTATTTGATGTTTATTTTATTTTCTAACAACATCCACATCGGTGTGCTGTGAGCAGCCCATAATCACAGTGATGTATAAAACACAGTCAAGTTTGTTGTGTGTCGATGCATTGAACAATGGAACATTCCCCTGATCATTCTGGACTTGATGTGGTTTAAAAAGCCACTTGAATTTGTACAGTACCTGGTAGTAAAACACTGTTTAGAATCAGAGCTCTGTTCTGTACAGTGGAAGGGTTGAAACTCTTCATGCCCACGTGGCAAAGTTCTGAAACGCTGCTTCCCCAGCTGCAGCTCTCGAGCACGTGTGAGAGTTTGGGGTGGGGAGATGGACCTGGCAGTGCAAATATTCATGCAAACAGACCACTGAGGACCAGCCATAATAAAATCAGAGAGAACAGGACTCAGATGAGCTGACAGCTCAGATTAATTACAGCTCTGTTGTCCAAATGTGGACAAAACTAAATACTGTAGAAACCAGAGGACCAGAAACGTTAAGTTCAAAACATATCAGAAGGAATTTACTCCAAACACAATGGGAAATAACTCTGTTGCCTTGCTGACAAAAAGTAAAAATGATACTGCTTTATTTTGTCCATAGAACAATTACGGTACTCATGTTACTGAAGTTCCAACCTACAAATTCAACAATATAGAATACATTCAAGAAATCAGAGCAAGCATGCATTTTTCATCTATTTGATTTCATAAAATTACTTCAAAATTTGAGTGATAATTTAATAATTTCAAGCTTGTGAAAAATTTTACTTGGAGGAGGCCTACAATTATGAGGTGGGAAAATCAGAGAGTAAATTACCACTACAAAATTGGTTTTGTGTGTGAAATAAGTAAAGGTATGTATCCTGTATATAAAATAGTAGTTTATTACCAAGAAAAAAAGGCTTCAGTGGATTTCTTTTCAGAGTTCTTATGCAAGTAAGGAATTCTTGCCCACTGAATTGCCCTGAAGTGTTTTATGATACAAAATGAGTAAAAAGGTTTTAAACATGGTAGCATTTGTTGTTATTTCTTCTGACTGCTTTATCAATTTCGTTGTTTAAAGGGTACAAAGAATGTAGAAACAGAGGTTAAATTAGATAATCCACAGATTCATGCCACTGTGTCACTTCATGACCTAAAAAATAGAAGTCCTAGAAACATAGAATCTTTCAATTTGAAAAAGATCATCAAGTCTTACCATTAAATCCTATTTCTGGATGTCTTCAACTGCCCAGTTTTATCTGTATGTACAGGTGGTACAGGATTGCACTTCACTGTTGTAATTTTTGGCATAATGCAAATATTATGGAGAATGTTTTAAAAGTAACCTAGCTGCAATAAATTCTTCAATAAACCCTTTCAAGCATGAAACCAGGAGTTTTTTGGGTCATTAGGGAGAGACACTCTCCTGCTATGGTGTGAGAACATGGGCAACAACTCCATATCTTACTCTCTGAAGTAGAATTGAGCAACTAAAATCAAGTCAAAAAAGGATTTGGCACATCTTAGGCAGCTTAAAGGGAATTTGACCTTCTTCACTCGAGGTGAGGTGAGGTGGGAAATTTCTACAGTCAGTCAGGTGAGGAGGTGGGGCTGGAAGTTACCCTGCCCATGTAATGGTGGTGAGGTCTGGTGTTCATTACCTCATTCTCACCTAGCCTTTATTAAGATGCTTACAGATCCCCTGCAGCAGGAGACTGGGTTTTAAAAACACAGAACAGTTGTCTCAACTGCCATTATTACCTAGTACTCTGAAAATTACTGCTGTTGGTAAAATCTATATGACACTGGAAATCTTTGGTATTTGTTTAATAGGTCAGCAAAATATGGTAAAGAAAAATGTTTGAATGACTTCTTGTTCTAACATTTCTTTACAACTTATAAATGTCTTAAATATTTTAAATTGTTTCTTGAAATAAATTAATATTATTCAATCAGATGTTTTGAAAACAGATAATTAGAGCTTTTGCTGTAGTCAAATACTGCTAGGTCCAGCTTCAGGGAGGTGGGGGAAAAGGGACTCGTGTAGTCCTGGGATTAAACCACATCAGGTATATTCATTTATTGACCCTCAAACCTCGGAACTGGCAGTGTTTGGAAGGGAAGGCATCATTTTATCTGAACTCTGTGGTTTTAAAATAATCAGGAATTGTATAGCATGGAATCATCTACAACAAAACTATTCTGTACTTTTAGTCTTTCTAATTACTGCCTGTGGCTCTGTGTACAGGCAGAACAAGTTGTCACCTGAAGTCATTTAGGGGCAAAAAAACGTTTTAATTTCCATATTTAACTAGGAATGATGACTATTTCTTAGTGGTTGTGAAAACCCTGTACTTTAGTGCTGATCCATTCCATCACCCTGATTCTCATTTGCGTTTCTTCTGGGTGTGAAAACCATCTCCAGCAGAGGCTGCCTTTCTATGGGGTGCATGGATAAGTCATTGTTTTTCTGGATGTTGTTCAGGCCTCTTCCTTTCATTGTCTGTACTCTACACCGCCTCAGAAGAGTCACTAGGATTGCCTTCATCATTACCATGGCAATAAACTTCCCCACACAGCTCCGGGGGCCGAATCCAAACGGCTGGAAATAGCGTGAAGGAACCTGCAGAGTAAACATGAGGAATAACTCAGAGACAGATTTTTCTCCATAAAAGCAGTGAAAATAATGATGGAAATTGGTAGTAGATATACATAGAAAGACTTGTGGAAATATTCTTTTAGGAGCAATTACTCATTTCACACTGGAAGTCCCACCCAAGTCAGGCCCAGCTACAGACACTCACAGAAGTATGGACCAGCCCTTGGAAATTCGGAGGCAGCAGGGATTGTGTAGTTAAACAGTTGAATTCTGCTCAGGTATTTGTCTGTTTGTCCTGGGACTTACAGGGACATCACCACAAGCTGTGAGATGGAGTGAAGCTTCTGCTCTTCAAATGCATTAAAGCTCATTTAAAAGTTCTTCAGAAAATGTTCATTATAAAACTCATAAATATCTGAAATACAGGCTGCTGCCTTGTCTAAGGATAATCACTAAGCCATACACCTGCTCCATTTGTAATGATAAAGCTAGTGTTTCTGAGAACTAATTTGTCAAAAAATGAAATGTTAGAATTTTTGATATCTAATAGAGAGATAAGAAGTATAAAATTATTGCCTTTTGTCCTGTCAGCTGAAGTATGAAATGTGGGATTCCCAGGACTACTGAAGGGCGAACAGCCAGTTCTTGCTACTTTTGGTGCCATTGAGTAGATCAGTTGAAAACATTAGGTTATGTGTTACATATATAAAAGGTTATAAATATTTTTCCTTCATCTGTGTAACTTCTTTTTAAAAAAGTCAGATATTAACCATGTTCTGATTTCCTATTTAACAAGAATAGAGTAGAAAATGTTGATTTATATCAAATCATCTGGAAAAAAGTATACTGTCTTTTCTTATTTCAGACTGACAGAAGCGTTTTGTTTAATTTTTTTTTTAAGTAAACTGAGCTGTGCTTTTGGAAATATTATATATAAATACATGTGTTTATAACACAGAGCAAGTACAGCAGCTGTCTGTACGGCACAATGGCAAATGCACAGCCTGCGAAAATGGAAAAATGTTTAGATTCTAACAATGGCATCTTAGCATAAATAATGCTGTGGATTGCTATTCACTTAAAGAACTGGAGGAAAATTGTGCCTGCCAGAATAATTATGTGGCAAACAGAATGCATCAGATAGAAAATGTGTGGTTAAATATTTGGTCAAGGGGAAATATTTTTAGTAGCAAAATGTCCTCGTAAATTAAGCAAGATATCAATTTTTGGTAGAAATACTTGGAATGTAAATAATGGGTGGCAAATTGGAATCTATTCACAGTGAATGGTAATTTTGATAAACTTCATCACTTACTCTCTTGAATTTTCTATTAAGACTTTTTTTTGAGCTATTGTTTTTAATGCTGTGTGCAGGGTTTGGGCTTGAACACTCATATCTCTTTTTTTTTTTTTTTCTTTCCTTAGCTGTTTCTTCAGGTGTTTTTACTGGTGAGTCCATTTTTGGTGTATTAAATAGGCTGTTTCTTTCTTTAAAGCTGAAGTTGCTACTGTTGATGTTCATGTGTGCAGCTGCTAACAGATCAGTGCAGTTTTAATCTCTCCAGGTTATTGCTGCTGAACAAATACAGTTTCACAAAACCGACTGCTTCATCAGTAATCAGCAGAGCAGAGGTCTGAGTAAATAATCTGAAGGATGATTTGAATAGTAGGGGACTACAAGAAGAAAAAATGTTCACGTATTTCTTTTGATTATAGTTCTTCTGGTAGTTAGAATGTAACTTCATTTGAAATTCAGTGCTGAGTGGGAACTTAATTACTCAACATCTGCAGTATTAAGCTGGTTAAAGGTTAAAATTTTCATTATTGTCTATAAAATATTAATCTAAAAAGAAAAGAAAGAATAACATGGGCACTAGATCCCCAGTCTCTCAGAAGTCACTGCTACACCTCTCCAGAGAATCCTCAGGCAGCCTCAGCTCTGTGTCAGCTGCTGGCACGGCTCTAGTGCCCTAAATCCTCTTTATTTTGTCCAGTGTCTGGGGTTGTAATGGCAACCCTGTGTGTCTGATAAATTTAACCAGAGATTTTTAATCAAAATTATTATGTCTGGGAGAAAATGTTTTCTATATTATAATTACTTTTTATTTAAAAGGCAGCTTGACGGGAAAATATCTGCCCAGTTCTAATAATAATAATAATAGTAATAATAATAATAATAGTAATCAGCAGGTTATATAGCTAACTAGACACTTAGACAAAGGGAAAACAGTCTTATAGTCACAAAGTTCTTAAGCAAAGTAAGAGGGAGAGATGTTAACAATAAATAATATCCAAATTTCTGGAAGAAATAAGATGGAAAACTTACATTTTTCTCAAAATTTTCAAGAGAAAACTCATTTGGCTTTGGGAAGAATTCAAGTTTGTGCATCCGTCCGATATTGAGGATAATGTTTGTGCCCTTTTTCACAGGGTAGCCGTCAATGACATCGTCCTGTAACGCTTTCCGCATGATCAGGTCCACAACTGGCTGGTATCTCATGCTCTCGTAGATAAAATTCTCCACAATTTTTAAGTTTGGCATGTCATCACTCTGTATGTCCCTGTCGCCTTGTGGAATAAAGCAGATGGTGAAGAGATTAGTTGGTTAGGAGTTTAATTGCTTCATTGTACAAATATCAGAACATTTTGGGAAGATTCTCGGGGTCTGAAGTTGTAGGAAGGATCTGACAGCTTCTAAAGAGATTTTTGCAGCCTTACTTATTGGGGAAATCTGGTGTATTGTTCATTAGCATAAACCCTAGTTTATTAATTAACAATCTTCTCACCTTCTTCTTAACACTCTGAGTCTTTGTTCTTGTGAGCAAGAGCTCTGGGAGTCCTTCCCTGGCTTTTGCATGAGAGAGCAACAAGGCACAACAAATAAATCCCCAAGAGCTGACAGCGAAGGGAATCTGGGGATAGTCTGGAGCTAATTCTGCAGGGACCTTAAACATTCCCCGTGGGGTTGGGTTTGGCTGGGTGTCCCTCCAGGCCCTGCTGAGGCCTGACACTTCCAGTTGGGATGAGGAAGATGCAGTGTCAGCGCTGGGATGTGCCCTGCAGGAGCTTCCCTGCTGTTTCCAGCCCCAAAGGGCTCCGGGGCTGCAGCCTGTGGGGCAGCCTTGGGGCAGACTAAAGGAACTTTGCCACCCTGGCTGGGCTCTTCCTCAGGGAAAAGACAAGGCTCTTGTACAGGGTAAGGCTTCAGAAAGAAGTGGGGTAAATGAGTGAGTCCTCTCATGAGCACAGTAAAATAAGGAATGTTAAAAGTACCTTAGAAAAAGAGTAAAAGACTTGTGATACATTTCCCAGTGTTTAACAGACCAGAAGTAAATTTTAAATAATACTGGCTGACATTAGTTTCTATATTGGTTCAGTGTCAGGCTTTGAATGAAGACTAGAGAAGGGGAAGAATGCAAATTTGGAATATCTTGATTGTGTTTTGAATAGTTAGTAATTAGTACTTAGAGGAGGCCAATTTGAGATAAAAATGGATGACAGCAGAATATATAATTTTAATTTTGTCTAGTCTTTCCCTTCTAGAGTCATAATGAAACTTAGAGAAGTTCTGTATTTTATCACAGAGAAATAATGGTGATTAGAAGTATTTGAAACAAGTGCCCCCTTTTGCTATTTCAGGGTAATTGGGAAATAATTTCAATGAAACTTGAGGTGAATGCTGATTTTACACTTTGGCTGCTGAGGAGAGAATATACCACATCATTTCTAATAGATTATCAGTTCTGATGATTCCTATTTTATTTTACAAATTTCTTACATTTTTTTATTTGCTCTCAAATATAATATTTTACATACAGTAGTAGTTCATATGTTTTACAGCAAACACTTCTATTAGGAGGAAATGCTTAAAATTTTCATGTTTAGATAAATGAAATTAGATCACTGCTGAAGCAAAATCATATTCCCACATCACTGACTTTGCAGCTCCTGCTTACCCACAACAGTTTCAATTTCTCTCATCATCTCCTCTTCCACTGTGGGGTGCTCTGCAATCAGGATTAGCATAAAGAAGAGAGTCACAGACAGAGTGTCAGGAGCAGCAATCATCATCTCCAGCACACACTGGTTCACATTCTCAGCAGTCAGATCCCCTCTGTTCTAATAAAAGGAAAAAAAAAAAAGTAAATTTTTGAGAAAACATTGATTGCTGGCTTCTGATGCCAACAAAGGTCCTATAAACTGCACAATTTCTTGACAGTCTATCTTATGCTAAATAGCATTTCTTTTTTGTCTTTCAGACAAAGGCAGAAATCTCATGTTCTGATGGCTGTGTATTACAGAAAAAAAGAAATGCGTGTTCTTAGCTCAGGTTCTTAGTTTATTTCATTTCCTCCCAGAGTTTGTGAGCTGTCAGAGATTATACAAGATAGCATTTGTATAGCATTTGAAACCTTTGCAAACAAAAGGCAATACATTAAATAATACACAGGGGTTAGGGAAAGGACTGAAGGACACTCAGGGATAGATGCAAGAGTTTTAGGGATGTTGTTTAAGCCATGAAATAAATATGACAAGCTCCTGATCCTGAAATACAAATATTCCTGTTTGAGTCACTGTCAGAGACTCCACAGCACCAACTGCTCAGCATCCCTTTATGATGATGTGACTTTTAGAGAGGCATATGAAGTTTAAATTGCAAAGCCTGTGCTCAGGAGAATGTCAGAAAAAACAAAATTAGCCATATTTTGAGTAAATTCCCAATACCTGTGCAAAAATCAGCTGGGATGCAAAATCCATGTGCTCATCCAACTTTTCCACAGTGGAAAGCTTTTGTCGTTTCTGTTCTATTAAGATTTCCATTGCTCCTTTAAGATCCTTGCTGAAAATAGATGAAATCCAACACATTGATAAATATCTGCACCAGGGTATGACTAGAAATACAGAGATGTACCAAGAAAAGCATCTAAGGATGGCAGAAATTAGCTATTTCTAAGAATGGTTAAATGGTTCTCGGCAGAGGTACTAATACTTGGGCAAGGTGTACTTTCGTATTATTCTTAAATAATTGCTTGTCAGTCTGGAATGAAATCTTTCTCTCTTTTTATAGAATAGACTGAAAAGGAGAAAAAATGTGATTATATGCACTATTAAAGTTTTTAAAGATTTATTACCATTTCCAAAGAATTCGTTGATTTCCTTGTATTTTATGCTGTATTCTATCAGTAAGTAAAATGAATTAGAGAATATAAGAGATGATTTTTTGAAAAATGTAGGCAAGTGTTAAAAAACTTGTATCTTGGAGGAAGAGCTAATTTAAACTTTTCATATTTAAATAGTAATACTATGTCAAAAGTTTGTTTCAGGGGTAGAAAAGGCAGGGTTCAAATGTTGTTATAAAATTTGGGGGAATTTTAAATTAATTATAGATTTGAAGGCAATTCTTTTTAAAAAAGTGTTTTGAAAAGATTTTGAGTGAAATCTCCAGGCTTTTCAAATGTCAGTTTGTTACTGTTGAGATAGATAATTTGTGTTTGTAGTGTAAATTTAGAACTTCAATCCCATAAAGATCTCTATTTATAAATATTTTATGTATTAAAAATATCAAGTGGTCCTTTTTGCAAAGTTTATCAGAAGAATATTAGAAGTCTTCATATCCTGTGATGGTTCTTTGCATTGCTTTAAATCCAGAAATCTTATTTTTTTTCTTCACAATAAAAAATTATTAATACATTATTTTTATGGGACTGCTTTTGAAATATCAATATCTGCTTGCATGGACTTTCTGGTAATAACTGGGCCATAATAGTTTATTATCAGCATCACAGGATAAAGCAGTAATCAGTGCCACAATAAAACTAGCAAGCAAATATTAGAAAAGGTGAATCTTCTGTCTAGTCCTCAAGGGCTCTCAATTAGTTTGGGTGAACCTGATCTTCTCCCTAAAGCCTTTATGTTATGTAGCACTATCAAAGCAATTTATTACATACCCTTCCTAAGGAGCAATTTCTCTCCCTAGGTGGAAAGCAAATCCAAAATGAAAAAAGTGACTGCCAGTTCTTTTTAAAGCCAGCTCTCTTTTGGCAGAAGACAGAAAACAAGATCACAAGACAGGAAGAGGCATTTTGTATTTCTGCAAACAAGAAAATGGCAAAATGTGTTTGTTCCTTATTCAGGAAAAAAACCCCAACCTTGAAATGGATTATCACACTGAGCACCAAGTTTTATCTCATAAATGAGTGGTTGACTCAAAAATGCCTGTTGAGGGAACCAATAAACAGGTACCTGCTCAAGGTTTACTCTTCAGGGACTGTGCCCTGAATACAGATGGGTTTCCTTGTTTGGATGAGCTCTAACTTATTCTGATTGTCCTCAACTGGATAGCAAATATAACTTCGTCCATACAATGGCTTTTCCTTGTCTGGACTGAGCCAGTGATCTCAGTTTAGTTTCACATTTGAGTGTGCATGAACTTATATTTTGGTGAATAAATTGAAACTGGACAGACAAAACTTTAAACTGGTCCAGGAACTCAGCTACTTGTACCACAAGTACAAGTACAGATTGACAAATTGTACAAGTACAAGTACAAGTACAGATTGACAAATCTAGTTCTGTCTTGGCTCTGCAGACAGGGGACCTCAGCAGCCACCTTTGCAAGTGTCACAATTTAGTTTCTAAAAGGCAGAGGAAAGCCTCAAGGGAAATGTTCATTCCTAAAATGAAAGAAAGAACCTTATGCAAACGCTTTGTAGAATGGTTCATACTCACACTGCATCTTCGTATTTCTTGCACAGCCAAGAAATCTTAAAAAATATGTCAGGCTTTAATAAAAGTGCTTGCCAGGCATCAAAGTAGTTTTGAATCTTAAGCACAATGGCATTTTCTGAAAAGAAATATTAAAAAAAAAGTCAATAGTCAAGTAAGATAAATCCTTCAGACAAAATTGATAATAAGATTGTGTTCTCTACTCCACTAGGTTCATGGGAATTTGATAAGCAACCAGTAGGTAACCTTTTGTAGCACTCTGTACAAAAGGTCTTTGTAGAAACTCTTGGTAACTTGCTGCAAGGACACAGAGGTGTGCCAGCCAGACCAAAATGTCTGCAGGAGAACAGCAGCAGAACTATTGCAGAGCACTGAAATGGGCAATTTAGATGTCCTTGATAATATTTTTTCTGTCATAGGCTGAAAAAATCGTAGAAAACATAAATTTTTAGGTGAACTTTTCAGAGCAATCATTTAGTTTGGTGGAAATATTTCAGATTCTTGCATGAATATAATATAATATTTGAATTGTACCCAACTGGTGCATAAAAATCTCTTTAAATGGTACAATTCATTAAGGTGGGTGACAAGCTAATGTGTACTTTTGGCCATATAAAACTCTCTTTTATAACTAACACAATAATAAAACAATTTCAGTTAATAATATGGTGATTACAAGGGTGTTCTTGTTCTGTTTTTTTGAGACAAAACTGCTGAGTGGTACCAATGAATTTTCCTTGGATATGCATTTCAGACCCATCTTAAGTGACAAAGCTGAAAGTGTCGGTACCATCCAGAGGGACCCCGAGGAACAGCTTGTTGGACGTGTCGAGCATGATCCGCCTCATGAGGTTCAGCACGTTGATGTTCCCGAGCTCCGTCGTGACCTCCTGCAGTTTGTCCAGGTGCTCGATGGTTGACTCCACACAAATCGCGATCATGCGCACCAGCCCGGGACCAGACAGAGCTGAAACATTCGTGCAAAACGAGCAAAAGGTTCGTTAACTTCTGTACCTTCTTTAGAACATCTCACTTGGTGATGATAGTGTCCATAGAATGGCAAATGTTGTTGTGTCAGTGGCTGGTGTAAAACAGCTCCAGAGCTTAACTGGTTTGTCATTCTTTGAAAGGAAAATAGAGGGATTTCAGACAAACACAATGGCATTTTGGGAAAGATTGGCTGTGTGTGTCACAGTGATGCATGCAGGCTGTCAGTGCACACCGAGTTACCTTTGGTGAAAAAGGGACGAATTTCTTTCCAGTGTGCTGGGTTGTTGTTAAATATGATCCCGTTCTCGTACATGCCAATGCACTGGAGTCCAAGCTTGCTCCCAAATCGAGACACGTAGTGCCAGTGCTTCATCACATGGAACACGCTTGAGGATCTGGGCAAGGAAGGAGAAAAAAGCCCCAAATAAAAAACTGTTTCATAGACTGAATACAGCATTTGTATTCTGACATTTTACAGTAGCTCCCGAGTGCTTGACTCGCATTCTTAATTTAGCAGGAAATATAATGCTTAGCACGAAATGTTGTTCCCTTTACATAATTAATAATCTTGATTAATGCCTTCAGAATTTATATTAAAGCAGTAATTTCTTCTGTTCGGATTTAAACTATTTTTCAATTAAAATGCAAATGGTTAACGAGGGATTTTAAACTGAATAGCGTGTGTACATAGAAACGTGTAGATATATATGATACACTTAGGCAGTGCCCAATGTCAGATATTTCAGAGGGAAAGGTAAAATATTTGATGTGTACTAAATTACAGCTTTACTTTTGTATAATCAATGCTATGTATTCCTTTGTAGCTCTTTGGTCATTCCCAGACAAATCCTGAAAGCATAAAAATACATGCATCACTTAAATATGCATCATCATAACACCATGGTACGTGTGGGATACACAATAAATATTCTTAAAGAGACACGTAAGGGAAGTCTGTGATATGCATAATTATATTTACAGTCAGCAAGATTAATTTGCTGGTGCTGGCAGACAGCATTCTTGCTTCAAGATATAATTTCCTTTAGAGGGAGCCAGCTTTTCAGAAATGTGGATGTGATGAAACACTGATCAAAGAGAATCTAACCAGAAGATAGAAACTCAGAACAAAGATCTGAAATGAGACAATATGCTTTTTCTTTACTGTGTGGCCTAGTCTATGGGCCAAACCCCAGACTACTCATGTGGGTTTGGTTTATTTTTTCAGTCAGGTAATGTAAATGTGACTTTTGCTATTGACTGCAAATATTCTTGGTTTCATAGTTTTGCATGACCCAGAGGTAAAAGTTAACATTAAAGTTTTTTCCCCTGCCAGGGCACACTATCTGTGTTTCCCTGGGCATGAAAAGATGGTGGTGAATTCTGACAGCTGTCCCCAGAAAGGAGAAGGTGCAGCAGGCTCATTTTTCTCCCTCCCATCCCATGTGTCTCTATGCAGGAGACACATCATAATATTTCAAGGAAGAATTTTGTCAAGTGACCTTGCAGAAGCAGATTTTTCCTTATGAAACTATTTAATGAACTCCTCCAAAAGACATCAGCTGTTGTAACCAAGACTGCAAGTCCTTCTCTCTGTGCATTAACATCTCAGTATTAGATTTGTTGCTAAAAGTTCAGATAACATTGGTGAAAAAAAGATGACATTGATTTTCTTTTACAGAAGTTGGGTTTTGTTTAGTTGTGCAGGGAATTTGTGATCCCTTGAAGATTTTACTTTAGGTTCTTGCTTTAAAAAATGTTAAATGCTTGTTTTCTATGTACATTCATTGATTTAAAGCAAAAAATGTCTGAAGGAAAACAATGTATTGACTGTAAATCTGACATTTTTCAGCAGCACTCCTGGTTGGTTTCTGATGAATTGATAGCACAGAGAGGGAAAGACAGCAATAAGAGTTTGTAGTATTTTCAAAGCATTCAGAGCATTATCAGAACATTTTACTGTTTTAGTTGATATTTGCAACACCTTTGTTGCAAAGGTTTCCTTGTCATGATTACCTCTTTCTACAGAGGTTAAAATAGACATGAAGCTGACTTGTACCATGTGGCAAATTCTGTGATTTTTCTCTATGCTGCTCTGTCTTTCAAAAGCTTTTACTTAATGAAAGTATGACTTGATTGACATTGCTATTGAAAAGGTTCTGATTCTTCATCAATTACATATGGTAAACATTTTACTATTCTTTTTTTTTCTTTTTCATGGCATGCCTTGTAATAATGCAATGTAAGAAGAAAGCAATCATCCACTGGTGCTAATAAAATGATAGACTGAAGTTTAGCATTATGTTAAATACTGTGCATAATTGAAGCCTATGAATCCCATTAATTGGAGTGGAATTACTCCTAATACTATAATGCTGTATTTGCTTAGTTAAATCCCTGAATTGGAGCCATAATCTTCAAGCATTTACTTCCACTATAAGGAGAAACTTAAAAACACAGAAAACAAATATTTGACTTAATCCCACATTGCAGTCAGCCTAGATCCCTAAACTGAATGTTATCTTAATAATAAATGGAATAATAAAATATTTTTAGGATTAAACCACAGTGCTTTCCTTTCCACAAAAAAATATTAGGAGAATTCACCAATACTTCAATAGCAGAGTCTTTAAACAAACACAAGGTTAGAAAAGGTCTGTGAATAGCAGAAAGTAAAAGGTTTTTGTTAGGACAATTTTTGAAAATAGTAACTTCAATTCTACTTTAGAATAAAGCAGCAAAGAGGTTGAAAAGATATAAAGCTTTTCAAGTTATTAAGTATAGAAAATAAGGATTTACTTGCTAATTATAAATGTTTCTTCACCGCTGATCCAAACTCTCACAAATTCTCCGTATGTCTTGTTGTAGTAGTTGCAGGCATTCCCTACTCCCATCCAGAGGAATCTCCCATGTGAAATGAGGGGGCCGATTCCCATACAGTATCCTGGCCCTAAGAAACAAGGTAAGAGAGGTTTGGTCTCACAGTGCTCACAGACAAGGAAGCACCTCTGAGCATCTCCCTTTTGCAAGGAGGTTTTTAACGTGACAGATGCAGTCTGTGCTGGGCAGTTCACACAGAGTCCTGCTCTGAAGCCTGGTCAGAAACCACAGCTGTGCTGGTGAACCCTCAGCATCTGAGGAAGCCTATAGTGCCCTCAGTGGTACCTACAACAACAGCTTTCCTTGCTGCTCTGTACAACTTCCAGCTGCTGCTTGCTTCTGGAGAGACAGTGCCTCCATCCTGGAAAAAGGAAATTCTCTTTTGGTCTTCTCCCAGAATTTCATTCAGGAGTCACCATACTGGTTTAGGGTAATTCCTGTCCAACACCTGTGAGAGATTGTGTGCTGCTCTCCTTCATGCAGCAGGGCATTGCATCTGGTGAAAAATAAGCTGAGCCATTAATGTCTAAACAAGCCCCCAAAACATTACAGGAAGGAAAGGGAATTAGATGTTCTGTTCTGGAGGCTTTTCAGTGCTAGAGACAGAGAAAGATTGATAACCTACTAAAATCTGAACAGCTTCTTAGGTAACGGTTTAGAGTTAAGGCAGTTTAGAAAGACTTAAACTTTAAAATGTGTAAAAAGTGGTTTATAACACGCATGGAAATGAAAACATCCTGAGTTTGTGAAATAGTATTATACCTTTCTACCATACACAAAATAAAGCTGAAAATGAAATGTCATAAGGCCAAGCCACAATTATAATGGAAGTTCTGAAGTTAAAATAAGCCTGGTTTCCTTTATCAGGAATTTTTAAAAATCTGTATTATTTAAACTGATTCATGATAAATTTTGTCTTTATACCATGACTATTCAGCATTACTTTGTCACTTTAAATTTAAGAAACAAACAAAAATTACTCTGAAAACTCTTATGTGGCACAATAGCTAAAGTGAATTTACCTGGTATTGATGAAGTCTCTTCATGATTCCATATTAGAAAGAGAAAGCACATGAGGATGAGTATGGGCACTGTGGCCACGGGCATCGTGTCCGGTACCAGGCTGGTGATGTTGTAGTGCATCAGGTTCAGGGTTTCCAGGACCATCCTTCCAAAAAGGTTCTGCTTTGCTTCAGAAGGAGAGAGAGAGAAGGAGGGAGAGAGGCAGAGGCTGTCGAAGTTCAGATGTGTTCAGCTTTGTTGGTACCTCTCACTGCCTTTGTAGCTCCTACAAATGAACAAATCAGCTCTGGACGTGGCTTTATAACGAGAGTGGCTGCCTGGGGAGCTTGCTGGGACAAGCTTCATCACAAGCCCAAAGAGACATGAAGCAGACACTTTTTTGCTTGGGAATAACAAAGGTTGTCTGACCTTGATGTTGAGGCATAGTTTTGGATATTTTGGCTGACAGACCTTTTATCTCTGATATCGACTCGGCTGGCCAACACTGAGGTTTACTCCTTGCAAATCTCTAACCAAAACACAAGAAATTAAGCTTTCAGCACATGTGGAAGCATTGAATGAGTTCACTTGCCAGCTTTTGTCTATCTTACTTAGCTGTTCCCTTCCTGTATGCCTGTAGTGCCAGAGCTCCTGAATTTCCAGAATAACTGTGGTAGTTTTCAATGATATGATAAAGTACCCCAGTACCACAGTTTTTTGTTTGAAACATGTATTATAGTTTTTTTTAACTGCCAGCCTTTGAGTGTAACAATGTAATATAACGTAGTGCATTTCTTTATGACTTTTCTGTTAAAAACTTTGAAAAATATAATATATGCCATAGCAAACAGGATCATAGATTGTTGCCATATTTTTACTCAGGTTGTAACCAGCACTCAGCACAGGAAAGAAAACCCAAGGACAGCCAACAAGTCTCTTATGCATAAAGGGAATAGAAGGATTAATTCTAGTAATTAATCCTTCTATTCTAGCAAGTTTTTCTGCATGTTTTTGAACTAAATCATAAAATATAAGAAGTTGTACCTGAGAGGGAATATGTGTGAGAAGGAATGTGAATGAGAACTCATTTAACCACAGAAAGGACTTCTTGAACCTGAACAATATTTTATTTATGAAACTTATTCATTCTGCTCTGGCAATAACTAAAAAGAGACTTTTTTTTGTTTCTTCCTGCAACAATATTTCAAAGTTTAAGGATATATTTACTTAGCAGGAAGCTTTTAGGTAGAGTTTCCTTTTAGCAAGTGCTTGTTTGTCTTGTACTTTGGTCTCACATTGCAGAAAAACTAAGAGCTTGCTCTGTAGTGACTGTCAGTGTTGTAATTATGTTAAACTAAGCCTAGAATGGGATAGATGCTTTCTAGATAGTGAGATTCCTGCTGTTTATGGTCAAAGGAGGAAATGTATGGAGTGTAGGAAGGGAATATGGGGAAAGGGAGTAAGCAGTGGTTTAAAGGCTTGCAGGTGCATGCAATGTTCACTTTTGGATGTTTTCTGTGCCAGGCTTCTGGTGTTTTTATGATCCAAAGTGACCAATCTGCCAGGTGACCTTTTAGAAACGTCCCTGCTATGGCAAAGGAGAGCAGCCCACCCCTCCTGAGTGTCCAGGGGCTGTTCACATCCTGGACACATCCAGCTGCTCTATTGTCTTGCCTGTTGTGGAAAAAAAAGTTTTGTAATCACAAGCCTTTTTATAATGTAATTATATTTATTAGTTTAAATTTCCTTGAGTGCTAGTCTTTACCACAACAAAAGCATGCCTGTGTATGTGTAATATTTTATCAGCTTCTGTCCCTTTCACTAATATGAGTTTATGGCATTATAAAGGGAAATAGCCACACTTGGGGTGTATAGTTCCATTTTTATGTTGCTTTCTCTCTGGATCTGCATAAACTTCATGTTTGTACTCCATTGCCACAGATAGGCTCTGATGTGCATTGTTTTTTCTGTTTTTTCCAAGACATTCTGGTGTGTGTGCAGTAGTTTCACTGCCTCATATTCTCTGTGAAGACAACTGTGGAGCTGGCTGTGCATTTGGGTGCTGTGAAATAAACCAATTTCATACCTCCCAATGTGAGCCTATGAATATTAGATCTGCAGGGTGAGCCCTGGTAGAGTTGAAGGTCCTGATATGTTTGCAGAGTGTACTTTGCAAGTATGAGTCTCCCCCTTACATTTTCTAAAGATCAGCCCTGAGTTTTGATCTTGTTCAGCTCTCAAATACTCACAGCTGAAGCTTATCATTGTTTTGATAGTGGAATGCAGGCAGGTCTCTGGTTTTTCAAAATATACAGATAGCAATGGACTGGGTTTTAGATTCTTGATTACCCCAGATTCATAATTTTATAGTTTTTAGTAAAATAGACTTTTTCTGTGTCCAACACATCAGTGTGCACCTTGCTGTTACATTTATAATTTTGATATCCTGGATTGTGCTGTCATGTAGATAAAAGTATTAAAGGCAAAGTATTAAGCCTGAATCCTTTTACACTCTTGACTTGATCTAAAACAGTCTTTAGTCAAAGTGGCTTCTCAAGATCTTAAACAGTTGACATTTCCTGTATTTAGGAGCTCTTTGCTTCATTTCAATGAGTATGATTGAAGCAGACTTTCAAGGCTTGCATTTTTAACCTCTTTTTTTCATTGCAAAATCTATCTGGGCCATGAAAAATTCACCTTAAAAATATGTAACCCCCGCTGCTTATCCTACTTTTTATCCATGGCATCTTTTAAGAACTGCCACCAGTTAAGTCTCTCCTCATGAAAATTCAGCCAAACCCATTTAGATAGTAAGTAGTCACTGAGCAGATTGAAAAAGTTAGAAATGGAACAGAGTTAGAGTGCCCACTGCGCATGAAAGGTTTCTCTAGTCTTGCTCATTTTGTCTTGTCTGCTGTAATTTTCCTTTCCTGGAAAGGTTAAGGTGTCTCAGATCAGAGGGGTTTGTTGGTTCTGATTGTTACTTATGTGGCAGAGGAAGGATGGGACAAAAAAAGCTTTTAAAATCCCACTATGTACTGGGGAAAAAGAGACTTATTATAGGAAAGTGCTTTTGTGGCAGAACAGATGGATGTGCACAGGCTATCTGGCCTGAAAGCAATTATGGATCTTGACCCCTGGGAAAGCAGCTGCCAGCAGAGGGCCCTTTAGATTACCGATTTCTGAGTCTCGGCTACAAAGCACTAGGAGAATATTCTCGGTTCTGTTAAACATTTTCTTGCCAAAGATAATGTGAGGAGTGATTGCAAGGTCCACAGTAAAGAGAAAAGCTCATATATCTAAAAGACAGCTGTATTGACACCTCTTATTCTGGTTACAGCTTTGTACTTAATGACTCTGTCAGGAAAAGAGCAAATTCATGAACTCATATTATAGAATTGGAGCTGAAAATCTCTCTTAGTTTTGAGAAGGAGTTCATAAAAATGCCTGATAATTCTTGAAGAGCCATTCTTGTGTCCTGGAGTTGTTTCCTTTGGAGTGGTTCCTCTGTCAGGAGAGAAAAAAATCTGCTACTTGTTATAAATTCCCAAGTATTAGTAACCCATATTATCAGCATCTGAAGCAACTTATCTAGCTTTAAACAGTTTGGAAAAATAGACAGACTTATTTCACACAAACCCCTTTTTTTTTTTACAGATCTGCTCCCATTGTACCACAATCTTTGCCAATGTTGATACAGAGTGAAGGAACACAGTACCTCTGAGAAATAAAATAGTAGGTTTTAATTGATTTGAAGTGGGTATTAATCACCAGATGTACAGCACATGTCACATCCTTGATAGAGGGATTGTCTTGTTTCCTTGAAAGGCTGTGGGATTTAAAGCTGAGAACATATCAGGAGACTTTTTAAACTCGAGAATGCTTTCCACTGCTTGTAAGGTGAGAGGTAAATTACTCTGTAAGCATCAGACTGTACATTTATTTAATGTCACCCTGGATTCTGTGGTCTCTTCTAATTCTTTAATTCTCTCAGGTTGCAATGGGGATGTCACTGAGAGTTTTCCATCACAATTTATTGTTTATCTCATATTGCACTCCTCTTGTGAAAATTTTTTGTCTTTGATCCACAGTACTTTTTTCTTCATTACTTCTCATTTGTTTTATTACTTAATTATTTTTATCACTTAATAGCATTTCACTGTGTTTTAGTCACCTGATCCTTTGCATCTGTCAGACATCTCTCATTAAAGATGGGTTTGCAGTCCCAATGTGCAGAGCAGACATTTTAAAGTTAGGTGTTTTCATTACTCTGCTTTTGAAGCACTCTGCCTTGTTTAGGACTGTTTTCTACTTTTAACTCAATCCTCTGCATCTCAAAAGGAAGGTAAATATAGTAAAATGTGAAAATGAGGGAATAAACCCCTTTCTCAGTCATTTCTGGAATTTATGTAGCTGTAGAGGTCTTTCCCATCTAATTACTATGGAAATGTATTCTAGCAGTGTTGAATGATTATTATAGCCTTGTAGAATAATCCTGTACCACTTGATTACTATGAAATCTAATCTAAATAGCACTTACAACTTCATCTGTTGTTTAGGTTAGAGGAGGAGGAGGAAGGGAGAAGGAAGAGATGACAGCTTTCAGCAGAAGCTTGGAAGTGGGAATTTAGTAATGATCATCCTGGCAATCTAAAGTGGCTCTTGACAAGTAAATGAGGAGGTAGGAGCCCAGTGTTGTGTCAGAGGGCAAGGAAAAGAGAAATGCAGAACACAGCCATGATTTTGTGGTGTTGAAAAAATGTCTGTACCATGAGATAAGAAAGATTGTTACATTTTATGTCTCTGTTATTATCTGGAATTTTATTTTTAAATTTTGATGAGTATTCTTATGACAGGGGGGTTATGGCAAGGGTTACCTTGCTTTATACTGAATAGGATCTATCCCTAGAGCCTGCTTCTCTGAGATTCTGTCAGCTGCTCTGAGAGCACTTGTAACAGCACTTGTTACAGTGCTGGTGGTGGCCACAGCTGTATCTGCTCCAGTGTCCACAAAACTCCATTTCTTGTCACCCTTTCTACTCAAGGTGTACAATGAGTTCCAAGGTGCAGAGAAGTTTGGAATTGCAAACTTACAATTCCTGCTGTCTGGAGTCAGTTTGGTCAATCTGTTTTCCTAGCACCAGCGAGTACTGGCATGTGATTGGAAATTAACTGGCCACCAAACCCTTTGCCAGGGAAACAAATACATTAAAATACCTTCTA